CTTGATTGCACCATGGGCTTAAGTGTCTATTGAGAACCCAGCTGCCAGAAATGAAGATGACAGTGGCTAAGAAAGGAGTCGCAGAAAGTGGCGGGGCCATGACTGCCATGGCATCCAGTCCTTGGCTGCTTATCTACACAGCCAGGGCTAGCTGAACATCTCCTTGTTCAGATTTCCTGCGCCCCAGCATTATACTGCTGCGGCTTAATACATTCCCAAGCAGAGGAAAAAAATCCACCAGGTAAAACAAACAGCCTCCCAGACTGCCTGAAAAGCCACCTACACATAGAGAAATTACATGCAATGGACTAGATTATGGGTTAGTGATTGCTGCGCCGTAATTAAGGCTGTGATGGTGTTTCAGCTTAAAGCTGAACATCCAAAAGGCCACCAGCACCCAGACAAAAGCCAGCGTGCCAGCTCCGGTGTTCACCCACCTTCTACAAGGGCTTTTATTTGCTAGAGATGATGAGGGGAGAGGGAGTATCCAAAGCAAAGGAAAATCTTTTTCTGGAGAAGAGGGGGAAGAAAGTGGAGCAGAAGATGTGCCTTTTTTTCTGCAGAGTTGTGAATAAGCGCAGGTGTTAGAGTGAGTCCCATAGATACAGTCCTATCTTTCAAAAAAAAAAAAAAAGAGCTTTAGAGAAATTAATTGCATGTCAGAGCCTCTGACAGGTCTTTTAAGAAATATGATACTTTTGAATGAAAACATTATATACTTAAAAAGAAATACCATGTAAATGTCTCCGAGATATTTACATTCACTGGAGTAATAGTAGGAAAGGCTGCAGCTTTATCCACGGTGCGAACGGGAGCTGCACGCGCCACGCGCTCCTGCAAACAGCAACATCCTCTGCCCTCGCTGGACTTCATCGACCCTCTGGCAGAACTGAAAAGCAGAGACCAGACCCTCCAAAACAAGGCCAGCACATCTCTGCAGAGGAAAATATGTATTATTTTATTGTACTTTGTTTTAGCTTGGCAGAAACCTGTGCAGAACGTAGGATAGGGAGTCTCTCACGGACGCGGTGTCACTGCAGCCAGCCTGGGCTCTGCCAGTCCCACTGTGCTCCCAGTGCCAGGCTGAGAAGCAATCTGAATGACTCTGCTCCCTGGCCAGATTCTGAAAGTTCCCCAAATCCCTCTTATCCTAAGGACTCCATTCAATCCTTGATTTTTACATTCACTTGATATTTGGTGGCTGAACTGATAAATTCTGCACTTACCAGTGATATATAATTCTGCATTACAGTGATAT